TTAGGGCTGGGATAAATGAATTAATTGGGCTAATTTCAGCCTAAACCAGGGGTTACTCTGTAGAAATGTGAACCCAAGATTGCTTGATCTTTCAGTTTCAAGAAAAGCAGGATATCCAGACCCCTTTGTGAATTCTTCCTATTATGGAATGTTACTAATTTAGAAACATGTAAACACTATTCCAGCAAATGAGCCCACAGGTCTCTAATTTGCACCTCTGAGCTCAGAGAATATGCTTCAGAGGATGCTTGTTGCTTCACTGACATCCAAGAGACCACACTCACCAGAAATCCTTTTAATTATGTGAAGAGAAGCCTCTGGAAAAGCTTCAGCTCTTCCCACTCGTCAGAGAATCCACACAGTAGAAAACTCATTTCTTCCTCTTCCCTGGTTCTCCCGTGTAACTTGGCATCCCACTGTCAGCCCTGCCTGGTGCCACCTCCAACCAGCCACCTGCCATTTTGACACATTCAACCTCCTGAACTGTTCCCTGCGTGTCCTCAGGCCCCCACACCATGATCCAAGATTGTCCTGCTTCCCTCTGGCCCCTTGGAAGCCCCGGCCTCTCTGCTGCCTGATGACCTCTGTCAGAAAGCTCACTGGACAAAAGATGGGGAGAACTGGTTCACTCAGAATAGAGCCCCTGTTCATTTTAATAATAATCATAATTAATGGGTATTTGTAAACCACATGACACTTACCCAGGTCTGTATGTATTCATCATTTTATTTTATTCATAAAACCTCCAGAGACAGAGTAGGCCTTCAACCATTTTACCATCATAGGGATTGAGGATAATGCAGCAGGAGGACAAAACAAGTGGCCAGCTCGTCACCAGCCCACCAAGATGATACTACCCATGGAATGAGCTGCTGCTTTAGGGGGAACCCCCTGGACTTCTCTTCCAGGAGCAGTCTTTGACAGAGGATAGGTGTCTGTGTTCTTGGAGGGAGGGACTGGAACTCTGGGGTCATGAGGATAGGTTGGGCGGTCTTGGTTCTAGCCAAATGCGTCATGCTGACTTTTGTCACTCCACTTAGGCCAACTTTGGGTGTGTCCAGTTGGAGAGTGAGATAGCTCTGATTGGCAGGGAGCCCCTCGACCTCCCTTTAGGGGAGGATGGAAGTTGTAACAGGGCTTCTTTCATCATCTTAGTGTGGGATTCATGGATGGATCTGCTGCCAGTATTTCTATGTTTTCTCTTTCTCTTTGGGTAGTTATTCCCAAACCTAACCTTAACGACTCTCCATCTCTAAAATTGTAAAGACCAAACTTATTGGAGTAGCTTTAAGGTCCTTCAGAAGCTGCTCGGCCTGTTATTCTAGTTTTACATTCTTCTCCATCCCCTGACCTTGTCTATCTCACATAACCCATCGTCTATACACCTGCTCCAGGTACACCAGAAACCCTATGCTTTTGCTAATGCTATTCCCTTTGCCCCAGTCCTTTCCCTGACACCTTTCCCTCAATATCTTTGTCCTGTAAGCTCTTATTCACCCCTCAAGACCTAGCTCAAAGGTCTATTCCTCTAGAGAGTCTTCTCCAACTCCCCTGACTGCAGAGTTTTCTTTTCTTTCCCCTGAACTTGCACAGAACTTCCCTGTTAACCTTATACAACGTATAAGGCCATGAAGTTCATGTGAAAAATTTAAAATTGCACACTAAGTTTATGGCCAGCCTATATTTATTATAAGTATCAGTTACTTCTCCATACCCCTTGCTTGATTGTGACCCTTTGAAGGTCTTCTCTTCATATCTCAAACTGCTCCTGGCACACGGTGGATAACCAAAATGTGTTTGTTGAATGAGGGAGAAAGATATCTGACAGTAATACAATCACTTATTTAAAAAATATCAATCACGTTCTAGGTGCCTTATAACGTTATTATTTTATAACGTTATTTTTAGTCTTCACATCACTTGTGAGTTAGATTTTATAATCATGGAGCACAGAGAGGTCGAATAACTTGCCCAAGGACACACAGCTAGTAGCTGATGAGCAGAAGTTTGAACAGAGCCCAAGGAATGTCTTCTTAGGCATATGCCTTAGGGTGTCCACATAAAAGTGTCCTTTCTGCAAGAGAACAACACAACATTGCCCTGGCTGGACTCTTACTCAGAGACTTCTCCAGCTCATGTAGCCTTATGTTTGGGCCAAAGGAGGGAAAAGATGCAAATGAAAATGAGAAAAGCTGGTTTCACTAAAAATCGTGGGATTTAAGAACTTCAGACATCACTGTGTAGGAGCCATTGAATAGGTGTAATGTAAAGAGGAGAGAGGGCCTCTTCCCACCTAGGGAAGAACCAAATCCCGTGCACTGAGGGCTCAAGAACACAGCCCAGCCTGGCTCCGAGAGGCTCCAGCCCATCGGCAGCCCCCAGGCCAGGGCTTCTGCAGGGCCAGTAGAGGTAAGAACCCTTAATGTCCGGGGGCTCCAGAAGGACTTGACTCCCCAGGGAAAGTGAATGCACAAAGCAGTACCAACAGTGGGAGGTGGTGGTGACCTGCTCAGAGCATTAAGGGACGGGCCTTTGGCAAGGACGGTTGGCATTCAGCCAGTCCTGGCAGCAGCGGTGGCACAGGCCAGTGAAGGGGGCGGGGAGGAGCAGAAGGACAATGGCTGGCACTGTCTAAAGTTGATGAAGGAATCTCTGAGAAAACCCCTGGGAACAATTCTGAGATGAAAATACTGCAAGAGTAGGCAGGAAAAGAACCAGAGAGACACCAAGTATCACTGTTAACATGGTCCCTTTGTCACCCCCAGTTCCCTTAGGGAAAGCAGGTTGAGGTGCATTGTTATGGATTTTACTGTATAGTCCACATGGCTTTTATTTCTCTCATTCATTTATTCACACAACAAACATTTATTATACCCTAACATGGTTTTATAATCCACATAACCATCAGCCGTGTACCGTGTTTCCCCAAAAATAAGACCTACCCCCAAAATAAGCCCTAGCAGGATTTCTATGCATTTGTTAAATATAAGCCCTACCCCCATAATAAGACCTAGTGATGGGCGTGGCTATGCAGCGTATCAGCATAGCCACACCCTGCATTTTGGCACTGAGCGGTAAGGAAGACTGAAATACCTTTTATCTGCCACAGCTCCTTTCTCCCAGCCATTGGTACTTGCGTGGGTGCACGTGTGGTAACCGGTGGCAGGCATCCTATTGTGCACGTGCGAATGACTAGGGGAAAGGAGTTCACGCATCACTAGCGCCAGCCTAACCAACAAGGTCAGCTCCCCCTGTCAGGTTCCAGAAGAAGATGTCTTAACTGTATTTGAATAATGTAGATTATTGTATTATACTTAATAAAAATAAGACATCCCAGGCAGCACCTGTGGGTCAAAGAAGTAGGGCGCCGGCCCCATATGCCAGAGGTAGTGGGTTCAAACCCAAAAAAAGCCCTAGTGTGTCTTCTTGAGAAAAAATAAATATAAGACAGTGTCTTATTTTCAGGGAAACACGGTATAAAGACACAAATTACATTACAACTTCTCCAACCTGGGATGTAATAACTCTCATTTTGACTGTTATTTACCTGGTAGTTGTAAAATCATACCACAAAAATCTAAGGACCAGTCCATAACTGTTGTTTTAATTTCAGAAATATTTAGTTATTTAGATAACCATGTTTACATAGTAACAAAAAATTAAACTGCAAACCATCATTTAGTGAACAAATCTTTTCTGCAATGTCAAAATTGTGCAGGGTGGTGCCCGTAGCTCAGTGGGTAAGGGCGCCGGCCACATACACCAAGGCTGCGGGTTTGAACCCAGCCTGGGCCAGCTAAAAAAACAACAATGATAACTTCAACAACAAAAATAGCCGGGCATTGTGGCAGGTGCCTGTAGTCCCAGCTATTTGAGGAGTGAGGCAAGAGACTCGCTTAAGCCCAAGAGTTTGAGGTTGTTGTGAGCTGTGATGCCACGGCACTCTACCCAGGGCAACAGCTTGAGACTCTGTCTCAAAAAAAAAAAAACTGTGCAAAGGTAGGGCCGTCACTGGATAGTAGGGAAGTGTGGGTGCCAGCACCTTTGCTCCTGGCCTCCATTCTTCCCAGCCAGGCGGGGCACAGTCTGAGGACTCCACACCATTCTTTTCCTGCGCTATTAGTGAGAAATGACAAGGGATTGCTTGTTTTCACAGTCTTCATGCACACAAAGTGTTAAGCTTGGTGAGTGCCTTAGGTAAGAAAGGAGAAACTGCCTAGTTTTTTTTTCCCCTGAGTAATCCAAAGAAACTGTGTTTGTGCATTATTACAATAGCCAAGGTATGGAAACCATCTAAGTGTCCTGGGACAGATGAATGGATAAAGAAAATGTGAAAAAAATAGATATGAACTCAACAGAATATTATTCAGCATTTAAAAAAGGAGGAAATCCTGCCTTGTGTGACAACACGGTGAGCCTGGAGGACATTATGCTGAGTGAAATAAGCCAGGCACAGAAAGGCAAATGATCTCGCTTACATGGGGAACCTCCAACCCGTGCAATGCACAGAAACGGAAAGCGGAAGGGTACTTGCCAAGGGCTGGAGGATGGGGGAAGTGGGCACACACTGGGCAAAGGATATAAACTTTCCATTGTAAGATGAAAGTTCTGGTGATCTAATGTACACTTGGTGACCACGGTTTATAGTGTTGTTTTTTTGAGATTTGCTAGGTATTCTCACCACACACACAAAAGGTAACTATGAGAGTTGGTAGGTAGGCTCATTAGCTTAGTTGTGGTAACAGTAAGGCTAATATAATTTCACTATATATATATATGTATCTCAAAACACCCTATTGTACACCTTGAATATGCACAATTTTTGCTTGTCACCTATACTTCAGTAAAGTTGGGGGGAAAAAAAGAAAACAACCAAACTGAATTGTCCCCTTATTATGATGTCTGAGTGTCATGACTATAATAAATGCTCCAGCTCTGGGCCCTGGGAGCTCCCACCAGCCTACACCTAACTCCTTCGTGTTTTTGTCCTAAACTCGCAGGGCCCACCCACCGCAGGAGTATCTTGCAGTCCCCCCACAATCGTCCTGACGGGTGATGCCGGTTTACCAGAAGGAGAAACTGACCAAAACCTGGCCGACAGGTACACATCCCAGGTGCCTGATCCTTGCCTTGGGCTGTGATGGACAATATTGCCTAGAATGTGGGTCTCAGACATCTATGTTCTTAATAAATCTTTTCTTCCCTTTTGTATCATTTTGTGGATTAAAACACAACCGAGCAGTTTTTTTTTTAAATAGGAGAGGGAGTTTTGGATCTTTCTGTTATCTTCCACCCCCAATGACATGTCCTCTCCTGGATGTGGCCCTTTGCATTCTGCTCGCCTTCAAGAACAGCAGAAACACTGCAGGGGAGCTCCCCATAAGAACCGCCAAGATGTTTGCAGACAAACCTGAAAGGGGAGAGTCTACTAAAGAGTCCTGCCCCGGGTCAAAGTGGGTCCTGCGTGGACTGTGACCTCTTGGCAGAGACACTGGCTCACATGCACGGGAATGTCCGTGCCTGGGTTTTACTCAGCTCTGGCCCAGGCATTGGTCCAGCTGGAATCAGATTGTCTAGGTATAATTTTCCAAAAGGTAAAAAATAATTCTCATACAAATTTATAGTGAGCATATGTCAAAGATCTACTTAACTCATTCAGAAGGGAAGCAGCAGGATAACAATGATATCAAAGAGTTTCATGGGCGGTGCCTGTGGCTCAAGGAGTAGGGTGCTGGCCCCATATACCGGAGGTGGTGGGTTCAAACAGGGCCCTGGCCAAAAAAAAAAAAAAAAAGAAAAGAAAAGAGTTTCATATTCTACAAGATGATGAAACTGTTTTTATTCTTTCTCCCAAATGGAAAGCATCTGCATCTCTACCAAGACAACAGTTATTTACATTTTTTGAGGTTTCGGAGTCTAGGCCCTAATAAATAGCAATAATGAGTGAAAGTTACATCCCTGGAGAGCAGGGGTTGGCAGACTTTAGCACACATCAGAAACACCTGGGGAGCTTCTACAATCACAGCTTGCCGGGCTCACCCTTTCTGATCTGATAGGGCTGAAGTGGGGCCTGAAAATTTGTTGTTCTATCAAGTTCTCAAGGTGAGAGTCAGAGGAGGCCTGGAGGGGCTTGTAAGGTGATGTTCTAGGACAGTGGTTCGCAACCTTCCTAATGCTGCAATATATTTTCATTGTTAAAAAGGGGTCGAGACCCACAGGTTAGGAACCGTTGTTTTAGGATGACTTTGAAAGAATAAGCAGGTACCTTTTGACCTGTTATCAAGTAATAGATTAGTTTTCTTTCTTTCTTTCTTTCCTTTTTTTTTTTTTTTTTTTTATTTGAGTTAGTCTATGTTGCCTGGGCTATAGTGCCATGGTGTCAGCCTACCTCACAGCAACCTCAGATTCCTGGGTTCAAGTGATCTTCGTGCCTCAGCCTCCCGAGTAGCTGGGACTATGGGTTCATGCCACCACACCCAGCTAATTTATTTTATTTTTAGTGGAGATAGGGGGGTCTCACTTTTATTCAGGCTGGTCTCAAACTTCTGGCTCAAGTGATCCTCCCACCTTGGCTTCCCAGAATGTTGGCATTACAGGCATGAGCCACCATGCCCAGAGGCCATTGATTAACTTTATTTTTTTATTTTTTAATTTTTTTTGAGACGGAGCCTCAAAGTGTCCCCCAGGTAGAGTGCCGTGGCATTACAGCTCACAGCAACCTCCAACTCCTGGGCTCAAGCAAGTCTCCTGCCTCTGCCTCCCAAGTAGCTGGGACCACAGGCGCCCACCACAACGCCCGGCTATTTTTTGGTTGCAGCCGTCATTGTTGTTTTGGCGGGTCCGGGCTGGGGATTCAAACCCGCCACCTTCAGTGTACGTGGCTGGCGCCTTAGCCGGTTGAGCTATAGGCACCGAGCCAACTTTCTTAACAAGATGCCTGTGTTCTGTCTTTCAGAGCTCACAGATCCCACAAGAGGCCTTCTCACCGACACTTAAAGGTTTCTACAGTTTCGCTGACATCTGTGGGTAAGGGCTGGGCCAATTTGAAGGTGTGTTTGAGTATTAAGACTGAAGCTTGTCAATGTGGCCGGGCTCAGCCCCCTTCTCCCGAAACCTCTGCTCTTTAAGGCGGCCTATTTATATAAGTTCAACAAGGTAGAGTGGATAGTCCTTCCATGCTTAAGTCCAGAAGAAGTATATCTAATTTCAGTTTCTTTTGAAGTCAAAGAAAGACAGAACATCTGGGTCAGGCTGCTCCAGCCCCTGCTAAAAAGGCCCCCATCTGGTAGGACTGTGTACTTAGGTGGAAAGATGGCTGCCCTGGTCACCTGCTCATTCCCCAGGTGGCTTCTCATGGCCTTCCTTGGGCTGTAGGAACATAGAATACAGAGCTGCTCCCTGCCTTCATTTTGTTCATAGACTATGAGGAGACCAAAAAGTGGACAGATGTAACCAGGATACTGTATTATAAGGGCCTCCACAGAAGAACTGGGGAAACCAAGGCAAGAGCTGGGGACCAGGTCTCTCCAGGGAGGGGAAGTTTTGGGTAGGTGTTCCACAGGAGATGGGATTTGAGTTGTGCCCTAGAGATCTAGGCAGATAGAAAAGAGGAAGGAAAGGCACCCAGAATCCTCTGCCCTGTATTAATCCAGACCCTTCCAAAGGATAGAAACCCAGCTCAAACTACCTTACACCCCAAAATAAAAATAATAAAAGCCAAAACTTGGTATTTCAGGGAGTGCTTGCATTGGGTTAGTAGATGGTCCCTTTCCATCTTACAAGTCTTTCTTGTGTGTGAGCTTTCTTCTTGGGCAAGCTCTTCACACATGGTAGCAAATGTAACTCCATGCTCACGTCTCATCAGTGGAGAGAAACTTCCTCTTCCCCATAGACCTGCCTCCCATGACCATTTCTGAGCCCATTTCCAAGCCCATTTCCATGGCCAAGGGGATTGAATTCATTGATAGGCCACAGCTGATACACATTTCTGCTCTTGGCGCTTGGGGTGGGTGTGGGCATGGCGAGCTCCTTCCTAACTCGGGAACTAGAGAAGCTGCAGCCAGAAGAAGGAGCCATGGAGGATGGGAGGGAAACAGGACCATTCACTATAGAGGGGCTGGAGTGGAGGGCCCTCGGGAGGGGAATGTGGGGCTAGCAAAACTGAGCACAATTTGGAGTTTGGATGCCACACTGAGAGGCAGGAGGAATCCACGGCCAGATGTGGCTCTCAGGAAGGTCACTCCACCAGGCAGGGGAGGATGGGCTGGAAGGGCTCATCTGAGAGTGGGGACCTGCCAGGTGGCTGATTTAATTGCTCAGGTAAGAGCTAATGAGCAAGAACAGAGATAAGGAGCAGGTTCCAGAGATGAAAGGTAAACGAGAGGACTTGATCAGCTGGCTGGATGTAGGGGGTGACTCCCATGCTCCTGAGCAGCGGGTGAGAGGAGGTGTCTCTCACTCACCCCACCCAGAGGGGCTGCTGAAGAAGAAGTTTTAGAGAGGGATGGGAGTAAACCACAGGAGGAGAGGGTTTCTGTCCATGGCTCATGACCTTTGGACTCCTCCACTTACCCACAAACCTTGAGCCCACTAGCTTGTTAAAGAAACAGAGACCCAAAGAACACAATACAGGTACCAGAGGGCCGGGAGGTGGGCCCTGGAATGGCCTTACATTCGCAGCAGAGTTCAGGGAACCAAGATGGCATCAGGACCGTTATGACAGGGGACCTGTCCCAGCCACACAGGCTTCCAGCCAGAGGGGCCAGCCTGCTAAGGAAGCCACACTGTCCCCATCCAACCCTCTTCCTGGCCTTAGGCTGAGATGTGGCTAACTGGGTCAGCATCCCTGGACTGAGGTGCGGCATGGCAGGGCCTGAAGCTGAGGGTTCAGCAGCAGCGCTCACCCCAGCTCACCCTCCTTCTGTAGACCCTACGGGGCACATCATTGACCTGGTAAATGACCAGCTGCCGGACATCAGCATCTCAGAGGAGGACAAGAAGAAAAACCTGGCGCTGCTGGAGGAAGCCAGGTCGGTGAGTGAGAGATTCCTGACCCGCCGTGGAAGGAAGTCCAGGAGCAGCCCCGGAGACTCCCCGTCAGGTAGGGCAGGGCCAAGACATGCAGGTGGCTGCCCAGGTCCCTCCAAGGCAGAGTTGGAGGGGTGATGAGGGAGGAGCAGGCAGCAGCTGCAGTGGGAGCCTTGCCTCTGAGGCGTGCACCTCTGACTTGCCGGCCTCCGGGCCCCAAGAGAACTAAGCCTGGTGGGGAAGATCCTGCAAGGGCAGGGTGTATTCTCAGTTTCAGGAGCTCCAAAATGCCTACCCAACTCTAGATCAGAAAACTCTCCTACTTTTCATTTTTGACCCAGGGCATGACAGTTGTGGCTTCCTATTTTGCCAAGAAATGTCAGCCTGTACGATACCATGAACTTAATATGACTCTTCCCTACCCCAGGTTTCACCTCTCTTTTCCTCTCCCTGCACAGACCACTCCTGATTTTCCAAGAGACCCTGCTCCATTGACTGGAGCCTCTCAGAGGTCTGGAGAGGCTGTTCTGGACTCATTGTCCCTGAGTTCTAGCCTCAGGCCTCAGGAAAGATTCTAGGCCCTCTGGGGAAGAGGGAAATTTCTGGGTCAGAAGGAAGCTTTTCCTAGGCTCCCAAATTGTCCTGCTATTCTGTGTTAGAGTCGTTCTTCTGAACAAAAGTTTGAGCCAGGATTTCTGGACAAGTGTAACTGTACTCAAAAGGACAAGGGCAACATTTGAAATCAGGAAGTCCAGAAAGTAGAGCTGTATCTGCCAAGTAGAGCCAGGTTCTCAGTTTTTGGAAGGTGTTTTGAGGTCAGGCCAGATAGACTGAGGGGTATGGCCCTATCCCTTACCCCCGTCCCCCAAATGACATAAGGGCTTCTCTGTTGGGCTAGCCACTGGGAAAGGCTGGGCTGGGCTGTAGTGGGGAGCCTTGCATGGCAGCCCAGAATCAGCCCCTGACCCCAGCAAGGCAGACCCAGGAGTCAGAAATAGCTAAAGGATTATCTTTGTCAGGCTGAAGTCCTCAGTTTCATGAACACCGGCCAATTTGTATCTGTCTCCACAGCTGTTTCCCCCAACCTCAGCCCTGGACCTTCTCCTACATCCTCTCGGAGCAATTCTCTTACTATCCCCACCCTAGAAGGTGAGGCCCAGCCACCTGGCATTTCCCACCCTGCCTCTCCCTAGGTGTGTCTGCCCAGCCTGAGCTGACCAAGATGACTCCCAGACCTTATCCCCAGCCCAAAGGATTGCCCCTCCCCACAGGTGCCAGACAGGGCCACCCAGTGGAGGCAGGTGGGTGAGGAAGGGGCTAGGAAGGCTTTTCTCTGCCCTGGGAGGACTCAGGTCATCACAGAGCTTATTTGGAAAGGACTCTTTGCTTTTTGATTTCTTCCCTTGCCTTAGGCTATAGCCCAGGACCATAACCCTTGGGTCAGCAAGGGGAGGAGCAGAGTGCCAGGGAGAGCAGTCACCCTTGTCAGTGCCTTGGGGAATGCTCAGGCCAGGGCTAAGCAGCTCAGGTTCAGATCCCAGTGCTAATGTGGCCTGGCTGTGTGACCTTGCTTTCCCATGCCTCAGTTCCCCCGTATGATTTCTGTGAGGATACAGTGAGGGCCTACCACAGAACCTGGCATGTGGCAGGTAGTCAACAAATGATGCCACTGCTGGCTCCAGGCCTACGATTGCCAAGGGAGGACACTCTGGGGAGGTGGATGCAGCTAGTGGCACAGCCAAGGGTCTGGGGTGCTAAACATCACTTACCAGTGTCTGGGCCTTTCCAGGTTTGGATGTGTGCAGTGGCCCACAGTCCCCTCTACCCGGAGCTCCACCCCAGGTAACAGGGGGACCACTTCCCACACTGTTTCTGTGCCAGTAGGTCTCTCCCCTCATCCCTAACACCTGGGAGGCCCTTCATGACACACTGGAGAGGAGGGTGCTGGAGGGCAGGGGCATTTACATCACTGCTGGGAGCCTCCCTGAGAGGTGCTCTAACAAGAAATATGGTCTGTCCCCATTGCTGACTGACTTGTGTTTACTTTCTCTGACAGAGGGGAGATGAAGCCAAAGACTCTTCACCTCACCTTGGCGAGCCAGTGAGTTTGAGCTTTGCCCAATTTGGATTATTTGGGTGTGGGAGACCCAGTCTCCCAGAAGTCCAGGCTGGCTCCTAGGCAGCCATTGTGTGTATGCATGTGCACGAATGGATGGGCAGTCTGGGCAGAGCGGCAGGTTGCTGTGCCCCGTTGTGACTGGAGGTCTGAGGCGGACGGCAGGGAGGCAGGATGCAGTGAGGGTGACCTCCAAGGGGGTAATGCTCACAACCCTGTCCCTGGTCTCTGCTGACCAGAGACAACAGACCTCCAGGCCGAGCAGACCCTGGCATCTCCCGTGGAAACTCCAGGAAAGCTCTAGCCCTTGTCTGGGATTCTGCCGTGGGCAGCCAGGAAAACCTCATCTTTGTTGATGAGCAGTAGAAGTGCCTGCCCCACACCTGCTCAGTCAGAGCCAGGTGCCCAAGTGTTGAAGGGTAGCATGAGAGTCCTCTGGGAGAGTTTCAGGGCACACACAAGACAGCCACATCCGTCCTCAGATCCACATGCGTCTCACAGAGCAGGTTTCCCAGGGGGGATGAAAGAAGCTTGCAGCACATCAGGACATCTGGCAGTAAGATAGGACTTTATAAGAATTGCCTCATCCAGTGATTCTCAACATCTTTTGGGTCATGGAACTTTCTGAAAAATTGGATTGTGTGGATTCTCTTCCATGAAAGATACCCCTTCACACAGACAGACACACACGTTTGCATATCATTTCAGAGGGTTCACAAACCTGGGTCCCTAAGAGTTAAGGGCCTCGCCAGGCAGAGCCAAGACTAGAATCTGGGGCAATGGAGTTGGGGCCAAAGCTGCCTTCTGTTCTGCTCTCCTCCTCAGCTCCTAGCCCTTGGGAAGTTCTTGGCTAAATCTGAGTCACAGGTCTCATTGTCCTCTGTTTGACAAACCTCCTCCCTCCAGCCCTGGCCTGGACTTGGACCCTTGTTTGAGGGTCCCCTTTGCTGGGTCAGACCTGGCTAAGGAGCCGTCCCTTTCCATGAATTCCACTCTTACCCCGATAGACACATATGCAAATGAGTCCCTCACAGGGGTCTGGGGGCAGAGGCGCCACAGTAGAAGTGGCCTCACCTGTCTCCTCCCCAACTTGCCTCCAGGGTCCCAGCTCTACCTTGTCTTTTTCAGAATGTCCCCAAAGGGCTAGCTGACCGGAAGCAGAATGACCAGAGGAAAGTGTCTCAGGGAAGGCTGGCTCCTCGTTCTCTTATGGTTGAGAAGTCCAAAGAGATTGCAATAGAACAAAAGGAAAACTTCGATCCTCTGCAGCACTCCGAGAGCACATCCAAGGGCCCAACTTCGAGCACAAGCAGCAGTGGGAAAATGGCCCTGAATAGCCCCCAGCCTGGCCCTGTGGAGGGCGAGCCGGCGAAGCAGCTCGTGAAGACTGCAAAGGAGGGCGGCCCTCTGCCGAGAAGCCCAACCCAGGGCTCTGGAGGGGCAGCTCCTCCCGCCCCCCAGGGGAGAGGCCCCACTGGAGAACCAGTGGGGTCCAGGATCGGCCCCAAAGCCGAACCACCTGTGTCCCGTCCCCCCCTACTGCGGGGGGTCTCTGGGGACAGTGGCCCTGAAGAACCCGGCTCCCGGCTGCAGAAAGTGTTTGCCAAGTTGCCACTGGCAGAGGAAGAGAAACGTTTTGCAGGCAAAGCCACTGGCAAGCTGGCCAAGGCGCCTGGACTCAAAGACTTTCAGATACAAGTGCAGCCTGTGCGGATGCAGAAACTGACCAAGCTCCGCGAGGTGAGTTCTCTGGGGCCAGCCGGGCAGGGTGCGCGCTCCAGGGCCTCCGGGGCTGAAGACCTCTGGGCTGAGGCTGGCCCCAGAGCAGGGCAGCCCTGGCCTGGACTTGGACCTTGTGAGGGTAAACTCCCCCACCCTGAGAACTCAGGCCCACTTTTACGTTTGTAAAAGTCAGTTTTAATTGCTTTTCACCCCAGTTACCAGGCAGAAATCAGCCTGACACATAGATGACACACAAAGCCCGTTTAAGGGCCAGGTGGCTCTGTGGGGGGTACACATGGGCCCTTCAGTCGTGGGGTGTTTTCCTCCTCTAGCTAGAGTTGGTGGCTTATAAATGTGGAGTACCTGCTTCTGCCTGGGACCTGCTAGACAAGGGTGAAACAGCCCTTTCTTTTGGGATGCCCCCAAGCTTTCCCCTGATGCCTGTTGATGAGGGAATTCAACTCCATGGGTACTCCACACGAGTACAATGACGGCCATGAGGGCTGCTTTCCCATGGACGATTTCTTCCAGTGCCTGTGGTGAGCTCACCTTCTGTTGGCCATCAGACCAGGCACAATGGGACTCTCGCCCTAACTAGGTTATGACTGGGAGTATCCAGAGATGTGGGAGAGAAGCATTAACAGACAAGTCCTGACTAGGCCTCTCTTCACCAGAAGGCCCACTGGGAATACAGGCTGAGGGATTCCTCAGGGTGGGGCCCAGTGCCCCCACAGCTGGAGCTGGACAAGGCTCTTCCTGGATTCTCTGCAGAGAGGCATGTGGGGCAAGGAAGAAAATGAGGTCCCCGATCACACTCAAGCACAGGAGAGAGGGTTTCTGTGTTAGCAGGGACATATCTCAGTGCTAGACACTGTCTAGTCAGAAGCCTTGACAGTGCTCCATGTTGGAGGCTCAGGGAGCTGGGATCTTGTTGCTGTTAACATTCTACACAGAAAACCCTACCTTGCCAGAAAGATCTAACTAGTAGATCAGCTCAGGGGCCACACCTGCTGGGTCACAGTCTCACATCTCTGAGGGAAGGTGGAGTCAAAGGGATCAGACAGCCAGGCATTTGTCTTTGCACAGGCCACAAGCTGCCCCCTGACTCCATGGCCCCTGTAGGTAAGCTGCAGAGAACCTAGATGCTCCTTCCCACTAACCATCACCCTGGCAGCTGAGCACCCCACCAGTGCTCCAATCCTGGGTGCTGAGAGCTAAGCGGACAGGTCAAAGGCCCTTGGCCATGACTTCCACTTGGATCATTAGCACCCTCTGCTGGCCCCTTCCTTTCCCTCTGTATCTGGGGCAAACCTCTCAAGCAGCCTCTGCCACACTAGAAACTGAAAATCCAATGATGGCTCAAGTCACAAGGGGCCAGGAGCTCTGCCAAGTGTTTCTACTTGGGGGCCCTGGAATGGTATAGTTGTCTTACAGGAGGTGCAGGCCTACCTGGGCTATATACCTGTGGTCAGAATCTCATCTCTCCTGCAGCTCTGCCAGGGCAGCTATCCTCAGGCCTCATTTGTCTGCAGAGTACAAAAACTCAAGAGGTACATTGAAAGGGCATCGAGGAACCAGGGGGGTAGGGAGTCACACTCATGGATGTGGGTACTCACTGCCCAGGGCAGCAAGGTGGGAAGCTGTAGATATCTGTGAACAAAGGCTGCTTCCAAGAGTAGCCCTGTACAGACCTGGGGACCCTCTTGTCCCCAGAGCCTTCAGTTCTGCTCTTTTGACCTCCTGCCCTCCACAAACATCAGCCATAGTGTAGCTGAGCGTTCATTTACCCAAAGCCCATGGACTTATTTAAAACACAGACCGTGCCAAGGGTAGTTCTTTCCCCGAGGACTGTGAAGTTTCAGGGACCTGTGTGGGCTGGGGGAAGAGCTGGTGCTGCTCAGATCTCACCCTGCCACGCCTGTCCACCCACCTCTGAGGCTGCCCAGTATTTCCCACTTAAGGCTAAGTGGTCACAAATCTGCCACGAGAGTCCAGCTGGTGTCATCACCTGAGATGTTGTCTTTTTCTTTTCCCACAAAGGAGCATATCCTGATGAGAAATCAGAACTTAGTGGGGCTCAAGCTGCCAGACCTAAGTGAAGCGGCTGAGCAGGAAAAAGGTAGGTGGGGTCGGGTAGATGCTCCCTCAGGCTGGGGCTGGATTTGCCTGGCTGAATCAAGGAAAGTAGCTGTGTAAACACGAGACTTCCTGTCAGTGGCCTTTGTCCATCCCAGTGGTGAGTGTGGGCTGGACACAGAGTAGGCCCTCAGTAAATATTTGCATTTGCACGAATGAATCAGATTGTGTTTTCTGCCCACTCAGTGTACCTCTAGACCCCTCTCCTTCCAACGAGGCCCCAGGTGGACCCTGCCAACCTTCCCTAGGCCTTCCTGATGTCTAGAGGGTCAGAAGGGTGCCCCAGGCCTGAACTTCTGACACTTCCTTTTCTCCTTCCACTCAGAAAGCTGCCCCCAAAGATCAATTCCTCTTTTTAAAGCATTAGAGCGATTTCTCGCTTTCTAAACTGCTGTCACCACAAAGTTCACACTTCGGCCCTGCCCTGCTGGGTGGCCGCAAGTCCCTTCCTCTGAGCCTGTAGCTGTCCACCACCCTCCCTCCACCCTGCCAGACTGGTCTTCTGAACACAAGGCCTTGGTCTCCCACCCTGCCTCACCCTCCACACTCGCCCCTGCTGATGTGTTCTCTACAGTCCTCACCCTCCTGGATCTGGCTGACTGGTCCAGCCCTGCCCCCAGTGTCCCCAGCACCCTTCCTTGGCCCCATTCCTCAGCGTGCATGTATTGAGCCCCACTGTGTCACTGACCAGCCAGGTGACATGGGCAAGCTGCTTAACCCTTCTAGGCCTGATCCCCATGTACATATAATGGAACTAAGAACAGTAGGTTGTCATGGAGATTAAACAAGTGACTGTCTATAACGTGCCTAAAACAGTCCGGAGTAAGTGTTGTCTAGGGTTTGCTATTATCCCTCGACTAGAAGCCCCCAAGGACAGGAATCTGTGTGTGTGTTTCTAATTGGTTACAATAGTGTCTGTACTACTGGGCCCTAAGCAAGTGTTTATTGAATAAACCAGTGAATGAAAGATGTAGCAGGGGAGTGGAGACAGGTGCCCAATCTGTAACTGTAACTGTGGTTCCCTAAGGGGGGCAAAGGAAGGAGGGTGAGCTCAGAGGGATGAGTGTTTCCAGTAGGCTCTTCCCCTTTCCAGAACCACCTTCCTCCGGCCACACACCCTGAGGCCTCTGTCCATGCGGTCTCCTTCCTGCTGTGCTATAGGCCCTTCCCTCGAAGTCGCATCATACCTGTCCCTTACAGCAGTGGATGAGTCCCACCAACTCTGCAGTCCTCTTTTTTCTCCTTTGTATTTCACTGTGTATCCTACTACTTTGTGCGTGTGGATGGTTATTGTGGTAAATATATATAACATTTAAGTGTACAGTTCAGTGGCATTAAGTACATGCTCATTGCTGGACAACTGTCACCACTATCCATTTTCATAATGTTCTCATCATTCCAAACTGAAATACTGTACCCATTAGACAGTAACTCAGTCCCTCCCTCCCTCCTGGTAATCACCATTCTACTTTCTGTCTCTCTGTATTTGACCATTCTAGGTCCTTCATAGAAATGGAATGGAACCCTACAGGACGTGTCCCTTTATGCCTGGTTGGTTTGTTTTTAGCAGGCAGAAACTTGCTCTGTTGCCCAGGGTGGAGAATGGTGGTGTAATCATAGCTCACTGCAACCTAGAACTCTTGGGCTTAAGTGATCTTCCTGCCTAAGCTTCCCAGCAGCTGGGACTACAGGTGCATGCCACCACACCTAGCTAATTTTTTTACTTTTGAGAGAGGCAGTGTCTCACTATATTGAGCAAGCTGGTCTTGAACTCCTGGCCCCAAACAATCTTCCTACCTCAGCCTCCCAGTGTTAGGATTACAGGCATGAAGCACCGTGCCCAGCCTTGTGTCTGGTTTATTTCATTTAGCAAAATATCCTCAAGGTTTATCCATGTTATCCTACTCCTTTTAATCCCAGTCATAATAAATAAATTTGCTATAGCATTTTTCAAAGTATAAATCATTTTCCACCTCTGATTTCATTTAACCCTCCCAATAAACTAAGAGAGGCAGGGATTCTTGCCCTCATCATACAGTGGAGGGCCCTGTCCCCAGACCCAAAGATTTCCTAACTCCAAACCTCATGGCTTTGCCATCACACAAGCAGTTTGGAGAATTTTTGTTCTAACTGTATGACATTTCAGACAAGTTAATCCTTACCAGGCCAGTACATAGAGGACAGGCAACTAGGGCTGCTCTGGTTGAAGGGGACAGGAGAGCTTGCATCTGCACCTTCTGGAACTCCCTCCCTTTCCATTGAGGTCCCAAGGTACCACAGTAGACCCTGGGCTTCATACAGCACAATTTGAAAACCTTTGCCCCACGTCAAGCCTCCTGGGGCCAGTCTCAGTATAAAAGCTCTCTGTTGATGGATTGTTGTTTGGATGTGTCCAGAGTGTCACCAACCCTGTTGGAAGCCGCTGCTCTGAAATACAGTAATACCCACCTATTTATTAAACACAAGAAGGTTCCCAGAATTAAAAACATTTTTAAATGTCTTAAAAATATTAATCACCTTTAGAAGAATCTCCTAAAAATGTATTATATACTTTTTGACTTTTTTTAATTGACTGAAGTACATTTAAAAATTAGGAAAAAAAATTGTCTCAAAATTTTACTCACAACCCCATAAATTCTAAAAAAGTAACAGTTTTTATTTTTTCCAATATTTACCCATACTTATAACTTTTTTGCAGTTGATTTGATGAATAGATACAACTTCCTGTGGTTTTTTGCATATTATATAACTAATTCTATGTATTTGGACTCATTCATCGTTTAACGGCTGAATAATTCCTCTGTATTGCTGTATCTGTTGTTGGGTATTTCAGATGTTTATAGTTCTTAGCCTGCGATTAATAACCCTACTGTCAACAATTATGTACTAGTAGGTGTAGGTTTTTTTATTTCTTCCTTTAAGTGACTCCCTGGGGATAAATTCCCAGACTTGAGATTCACTTGAGGTCAAAGTGTAGAAATTATTTACAAAGAACTACGCTGCTGACAAAGACTGAGTGTCCTTCTTTCTCTTAAGCATTACCAGTACGGGACTTGGCTTTTGCTCTTTATTGGTCAGAATATAGTAAGAATAATCAAGAATAACAATTATAATGTTATTGTTGGTTATTAGTGTGCAATGCCATTTCATTTCAATTAATTTGTTGAAGCTCAAACTTATTCTTTTTTTTATTTTTTGAGACAGGGTCTTACTATGTCACCCTTGCTAGAGTGTCGTGGCGTCACAGCTCACAGCAACCTCAAACTCTTGGGCTTAAGCGATTCTCTTGCCTCAGCCTCCCATGTAGCTGGGACTACAGTCGCCTACCACAACACCCGGCTATTGTTGTTCTTGTTATTGTTGTTTAGCAGGCCCAGGCAGGGTTCAAACCTATATTTACCTTGTTTCTTTTTTTTTCTTTCTTTCTTCTTTTTGGTCATGTACCCATTTGGGTCTTGGGCTTTTTCTGTTGGTTTGTTTCTTGTTGGTAATATACATAAACTTTATATACATCATAAATATTAACCTTTCATTGGCTGTATTTTCTCAATGTTTTCATTCAATCATTTTTTGATTTCTTATTAAGTTTTGTATTTCAGAAGAATTATAAACATTTTATATAATCTTGTTTGCCTAACTTTTCCTTTGAGAAGTCTTTTATTATTTCAATTATTTAATTATTTCAATTATTTTATTATTTCAAAGCAAATCTTAGTGGACGTTTAGGTACCTTCTCACAGTTTTTAACTATTTTGCAGTTTTGTATAAGGTATGCTAAATACAGATACTTGGATCCCTTTTTTATTAATATTATTTCTACTTTTTTCCCTATTACAAGCGATATCATAATACTCTTACATGTACCTTTACAGACCTGCATGGTTTACACTTAAGAGCCAAAAGGCTGAGAAGTGACAGATCTGCGTGGGAAAATACTCAGATCTATCTGCACCTGTTTCAGCATCTTTAGAAGCTTCATTCTGCTCTTTGCACTCGAATCCTCAGGAACATCTAGAAGGCCCTGGGTGGTTTTTCCTAGAAGTGAAATCGATTGATCAAGAGGCATTTACATTTAAATGTATCTAAGGGCTGTCCAGAAAGTATCCTGCCATGTACTATGAAAGAGAGAGAAACGTACATGACTGAGTACTCTCCAGGCAGCCCTGCATATACCTACTGCCAAATTAGCTTACAAAAAATTACACCCATTTAGATACCCACTACCTGTAGCAAAACCTCATTATCCAATATTAGTAGGGCATAAGTTGGATCTTAGAAGTAAAATTATCAGGTAAATGAATTTGACTTCTGAGCACCAAATTTAAAAAAATAAAATAAAGCACATTTCAATAAATTCACACTCCTCCTCATGTCCTCTCAGTTCTAGGGTCTGGATGGTTAAGAGCTTAAGCTTCATCACTTACCGGCTGCATAGCCCCAGTCAACTTTCTGCTTCTCTCTCTCTTTTTTTTTTTTTTTTTATTGTATCTTTCTGCTTCTCTTGATGCCTCAGTTCATCTTTAAAATGGGCATAATAGGAGTACCTACTTCACGGAGCTGGTGTAATAATTTTCTTTAATATTGGTCTTTATTCTAGCAAGAACATGATATTTTAATTTCAGTCTTTGAGGTGGTGGAGTTCTATCTTGCAGGCCAAAAGGAACATTCTTATACTCTGCACTTCACGGTATCTTGGAGATGTGGTGGGCGCCATGTGTGATTAGTATGTGCAGAGTTATGTCTTTCCTTTCTTATATTCTGCAAGCACCATTAAAGAGCCCCATCCCCTCTTGGACCCAGGACAGAAGGCTTTGGGAGTGTTTTAGGAGAGCTGGCTCAGAGAGTATTTATTCATAGACTCTAAATACAACTGTGTATGAACTCATAGAGAAAACTTGGGTCTCGTAAGATGCTTGTTGGCTCTCTCTTTGAGAGATGGGGAAATATCCTTATCAGAACATTGTGGAGACTTTAAGAACTTTG